GATATTACAGTATAAGGATTAGAGTGTAAGCATATTTATTATATATTCCTATTGTATTAAACGTTAATGATATCAATCACAATTACAACTCGGATTTAGTCCGTCTCTCGCAGTTGCCCATTGTGTTCGTGAATAAAAGAGCCTTTCAAAGCTCAATATTATCCCATTCACTAATAATTTTGAACATTTGAATGCTCCCATGAAATTCTTACCATATTAAAGTATGAAAGCGTGAAGATGAGTGGTCGAAGTTGATTTCATTTGACAAAGGTGAGACTTGGTGAGAGGTACTGTGTATTCTAGGATTTCAACTATGGTATTTTGTGAGAGGTACTTGGATTCTAGGGTTTCCGCCTCTAATCTCACACGTCAGAGATGTAGAGATAAGCACAAAGAATTTCCTTTTTAGGTTTAAAAAGATAAATTAAAATAGGGTTGAAGATAATAAAATTTTCAAGTATATGGGGTGAATGTACACCGAGCAAAGCGGAAACTAAAATTTGAGGGGAGCAGGACTACAAATTTCATTGGCTTGAAGTGGGAACAAAATTCATATTGTAATTATGCCCTTAAAAACATAATATAATGACACAAAAATTTATCTTGTGTCAATTTGTGGTGAGAAGTACAAAAGAACATGGAGACGAGTCAACCAAGGTTTTTACAAATGCTTTGGATATAATTATTCTATCCCATGACTAAATGCTTTGAGTTATATTCACTAAAAAAATATTGTTTTTACTTTTCCTAGAAATTTTGATGAACTTTTTGAACAAAAACACTTTATCAATGATTTGATTTAATTCATTTAAATTCTTTTAAAACAGAATCCAAATAATTGAAATTTGTTTTTTTTTTTCTTGAAACAACCTTGTTATAAAAGGTTTTATAGCTAACTTTTCCGTGTAAATTATAATAATAAAATCAAAACAACACTTAATATGTTGAAATAGAACTTGATAGCTAGAGAGAATAGGATAATAAATCCAATCTTACAATGAAAAGATTAAACGTATGCCTCTTTCTGTAATCTACACTTTCAAAATAACTAAACAAAACTGGTTCCTAATAGCATCTTCTATAAGGGTTTATAGTCTTCCATCGTTGGAAGCACAGATATCTTGCTCTTGACCATATCTCCTAGAATATTGATGGATCATCATTACCATCATTGTTGTAACCATGCATATTATATGGAAAAGATGACCCATTACATGATTCCTGGATCGCGAAGTCATCATTGAACTCTGGCAAGGTGAAATCCCAAACGTCCTCATCATCATCTATACATGCCATGCGCTCATTCATCACACCACCGCTAGTACTTGCGCCATCCATTCTAGCTTCAAAAGGATTGAAATGATTCTGTTGATTTTGTTCGAAGGGTTTGGACACTGAATCAACGTTTAAGCAGTTAAGTTCGGTGGTAACTTCAGCAAGGTTGTGGTTGTTCACATTGTGCAATTCCAATTGTTCATCGGATATTATTGATTGCAACTCTTTGTATGGATCATAATCATCTTGCTCCCAAATGGGTATATCTTGAATTTGATTGTTTCCAGTTTGTTCCCAGACACCATTACCTCCTTCATTCACGTAAGAAACATCCCTTGTATTTGGAAACGTCGCATCTGTAGAATTTGAAGATGAATGGAATGAAAGCACTCAATATTACTTTAAAAAAACTAAATCTAAGAAAGAAATTCTTTACCTGTTGACACTGTTAAGTTGGAGCCAGAATGTCCAACAAAAGAACTGATTGGTAGCACAAGACTCTGGACAAAAGGTACGACGATTCCCTGATGATCGTAACTTGAGAGAGGAACAGTATCAGGACATCCATAGACCATTCCGTTATATGGAAACTCCATGTTTGGGTTGAAGAACTGAGAGTTGTGAGTTAGGAAAGGTTGTGATTCGCTTAAGTTAAATAGGCTGTTGTCATGTTGTAAAAGCATCTTGAAAGGCTCGTGGTCGAGGAGTGATCCTGGTGAAAAGAGAATCGTATGTCGCCTGGAACAACAATTCCATTAATTTGATTTTTAATAATCTGTTATCAAATAGGATTATGAGATTTTGTTAGAAAATGGTCGTGTTATCGTGTACATACTTGCACTTTTGAGCTTCACCAAAGGTAAAATCATCGGTTTTCTCCCATTGGGTATGCGTTAGTCGCTGGAACTTACATTCTTGATAGTATTCTGGTCGATCCCTTAACTGCAAAAAAAAAACATACATAAGTTTATATATTTGACTAGGATAATTATTCCATAAATTAAGCAGATGAAAAGAAGCATACCTCGATTTCTAGACATTCGTTTTTGTCTTCATCTAGGTACGCGTTGATGGCAGATACTTGGGTCCATCGTATCTCGATCTTCTTCTTCATTGATCCAAAAAGAAATTCCCACACGATTTTCTTCTTTCTGTAGTAGAATTTGACTACCAAATCTCCTGGGTTTTTTGATTTCCACTTCCCAAATTGAAAACTTTAGTTAACTTTAACAAAGAATAGATTTCGCAAAAAGTAAAAGTAAATAAATAACTTACCTTCCAAGAGCCAATTCTCAATAACAAGGCCGGAATATTAGAAGCCTTCAGCTTCTGTAGAGGTTGTGGTTGTGATAAGACGTGTTGATGATTATTATGTTGATTTTCCTGCGCCAAATTCAATTCTATTTTCTTGATTAGAGACTCAGATATTCTCAAAGTCAAGCCAATTATTGGATACCCTTCCTGCAGAAACAAAAACAATTTTGAGAAAAGAAATTTAAAGAAAAGATTTAGAGTACTATGATCCGTTAACATATCAGAGTGATAAACGAATACAAAACTTCTAGTGGCAAAGAGAACCTGCACGTTTTTATGATTGCTACCGTTGAATAGAAACTGATGATCAATGGAGGTTTGAACATGGCCACTAGGATGATGATCATGGTGAGATGGATAATCATGTAAGAGTCCAGATGAATTATTCCTGCTTCGATATTGATCTTGATCTTGATCTTGTTCTTGCTCATTATCGTTAAAATTGCTTGTTTTACTACATGAGGCCATCGATATGTATGCGGCTGATGCCGATAGACTATATATAGTTATCCTAAACAATCATCATAATCATGAAAGTGAACGATGGTATCCAAATGGGTTTCCCTTCTTTTCTAATTTTCCTCACTTTCAATCTATATATCCATGCATGGGGAGTTGGCGCATATGAATATGTTTAAGAGTACCGACCCAATGGTAATAGGATTCGTATGCCCAAATCTAACCTCCGAATAATTAGGCAATGAGATAATCAACGAGAGTAGACAATAACTGTTGAAGGGAGAGTTAATTAAAGAAATAATGAGTTTAAACAATAAAATCGTTATTAAGATAGGTCAATCTAAATATAAACCAAACAAATCCCCTAATCTATCTCCGAGGAGGGTTTTTTTGAATCCCAAATTATTTGGCACTTTTAGAATAGTTTTACCCCCAACACTTTTTGCGTTATAGTTCAAGTAATTCATTTATAAAATCAGAAACATCTTTTATTTTTTTATAAGTCATTTTAATTCGTTATAAAAGCAAAACTTCTATTTTTTAATTTTCTTTTTTAAAATTGTAATCCAATTTTGTATTTCACTACAAGATATCTACACAATATGTGCGACACCAACGCTAATGCTAAGTCATACATGCTTTGTGTTGCTGCTTATGCCATTGTTGCCACAAAAAGTGTCGCTACTAAGATGTAATCGCTAAGGACGTTAACAATATGTGTGAGTTGGCTTTATTTAATATCACTATAAGAAAAAAGGTAATTAGCGGCAACAAAAGTTGCCGGTAAAAAGTAAGAAAATCGCTGGTAAAGGTAATAGCGGCGACACGTTGCGGTAAAAAGTCGCTTCTACTGCTCTGTCGCTATTGATCAAAAAGTCACCGGTAAGACAATTGTCGCCAGTAATAACATTTTTCATTTTTTAATTTTTTTAATCAATGATTTTGGGTATAAAAAAACCGATACATAACGACATTAAATGCAAAAAAAATACATAATAACATCTGATTAATACCAAATACTATTATAATTAATTTCATACCAAAATAAACAACCAAAGTTTTACAATCCTAACAAATAGCAAAGTGTCACGACAAGTGTAACATACAAAACACAAATTAATTATATGATAAACCATCATCTCCGTTCCCATCGTTTCCTCATTGATCTTTCCCTGATTAAAAAAATGTATAAAGCTTATCTCTACATGTCGTGTCGTTGAGCATTGCCTGAAAATTTTCCAACTATATAATAAATAACAACATATATAAACTTATAAGTTAAATTATCAAACATAAACAAAAACTACCAAAATACATTGCTATTTATTGCACTTAAATACAAGAAATACCAAAAGCACATTGATATTTCTTGCATTTGGAACAAAAACACAATTATCAAATTAACACGCATTTATCATGCCAAAGTACATTGCTACTTTTAAACTAAGACAAAAAACCAAAGTACATTACTATTCATTGCACTTGGTACAAAAAACCAATTATCAAAGCTTTTAGTAAATAATCACCACAAACCAAAATTACCAAATCAACATACATTTAATGATGCCAAAGTACATTGATATTTTTAAAATAAGACAAAAAAAAAAAAAAAACAAAGTACATTGGTATTTCTTGCACTTGGGACAAAAAACCAATTACCAATGCTTTTAGCAAACAATCATCACAAACAAAAATACAAGAAATACCAAAGTACATTGCTATTTCTTGCACTTAGATACCAAAAGTACATTGCTCTTTCTTGTACTTGGGACAAAAACACAATTATCAAATCAACATGCATTTATCAATGCCAAAGTACATTGCTACTTTTAAACTAAGACAAAAACCAAAGTACATTGTTATTCATTGTACTTGGGACAAAAACCCAATTACCAAAGCTTTTAGCAAATAATCACCACAAACCAAAATTACCAAATCAACATGCATTTAATGATTCCAAAGTACATTACTATTTTTAAACTAAGACAAAAAACCAAAGTACATTGCTTTTTGTTGCATTTGGGACAAAAAACCAATTACCAAAGCCAGAGCCAGTCCATAGATTTTTACTACCTTGGGCGAAAACTTAATAATGCCATAATACTTGTATTAAATCTAAATAAAACATGGATTTATAAAAAAAATGCAATTAGCATGTTTTTCAAACACATTCATATTCGTATAACTAAAAGTTGAAAACATCACTAAAACATTTCCTTAAAGCATTCTATGAATAAAAACTTGATTAATATATAATAGTTAAGATAAGTGTTTTTAACAAGTTCATTAGATTTAGAGTTACTCTCGTAAATGATTTGCGACAACACTAAAATTGTTGTGTCAAACGAAATTGTGAATTGTGAAGCACGAAAACAAAAATTTAATACATTCACAAATACACTACCCCTTATGACACTATATAAAATGTCAATAAAATATCAAAATTAGAAAACAAAAATGTCACTACCTTAATATATGTATAATAAAAACTCAAATTGGTTTTAGAATCCACTCTCAAAATTGAGAATAAAGAATTTTGTTCACAACAACAAAACATTTTAGAATTGCACGGAATCAACTCCAAGGGCATAATCACCCAACCAAGCTATCCTTTAATACTATTTGAACCCAAAATTGTGATAACTTGAAATCGATTACAATAAATAAATACACCTAGAGCAACAAAGGAAGAATCGTCCAAATTGGCAAAACTCAATATGTACAGGGAGGCACCTTTAATATCCAGACTGACCAAAACAAGGAAAATATAACTGTACACCTAGGTAAAACAACAAAGCCAGAAAAATAACACCATATGGGAAAGAATAACATCTAGAAAAGTTATGTAACAAATGGAGAACCGGATAATTTCATAGCAATAGAGGCACGATCATCCTAAACAGGTGAATACTTCCATTCCAACTCTGATGAGTTCCAAACCAAAGAGAAGATAAATATTGAGATATTCACAGAAATCAGAAGAGGAAATGGTATCTAAAAAATGATAAGAAAATAGAGTTTAGAGAAATCAAGAGATGAGAGTTTGTAGAAATCACCGTTCTTGTGTAGTAGAAAGAAATCGGGAGAGGGTATCCATTATGTATCCAAATAAGAACCTCTTAAACAATTGATGCTTGGGGAAACCAATGAATTCCTCCTCTTTTGCATCCAGACCTTTCATTTTTCTAGGAGACAACTGTGAAGACGGGAACTAGAGTGAGTAAACAACACAGTCAATTGGAGATACTGAAATCATTTGGGCCGAATACCTAATACACTGAAATGATGGACTAAAGTTATGCCCTTCTTCTCTTTGATGTCATGGGCCACTTCCCAACTCGCACAGGTATTGGGCCGACTCAAAGCTTTTAACAAATAATCACCACAAACAAAAGTTACCAACTCAACATGCACTTATTGAAATTAAATAATATTGTTTTACCTTTGATGGTTGTGATGGTTGTGGTGGTAGTTGCGATGGCTGTGAAATCAACGAGATAGTAGAAGGTTTCCGGACGATGCCTTTGATATGGCCACGTCGTTCTCCTAATACTTTCTCGAAAGGAGCTCTTTCTTGAGCGGGTGTTAACTCTCTTTCCCCTTCTGGCCCTTGAGTTTGTTCTAAGAGCTCTTCCACTAATTGATTCTGTGTTTTCCAAAAGTGATTAACATTTAAGTATAAATAAACACTTAATTATATGATAAAACTATAATTTAATACTTACGTATTGTTGTTTCGCCTCGACACTAACAAATACACCATTCCTATCAATATGACCCTTGCGAAACGTTTCCACTCTCTTAAGGTTCTGTTTAACATTAAAGATTATATGATATTTTAAAAAAATAATTACATGTATCGTACGTTACATTTTTATAGCAAGTACTGCTATACAAACTCAACCACCCATGGTTCACGATTGTTTGCATTTCACGAACTTTTTTGTTCCTTTCTGAAGCAACTATGTGTTCGTCCATTTGAAAATACTCGACTGCTTTCCTCCAATTATCAACATCCATATCATCTGGGGGTGGATAATGCTCTCGGGATATCCTTATATCCCCCAACTTTCAAAAAATATTCTTTTGCATTAGCTTTATGCTCTCGATAACCTTTTAACAAAACTGCTTCAAAACTCTCTGACAACATAGTTGCATCTGGATCCCATACATCCGATCCAAATCAAACTTTGTCTACAAAAATAAAAAAGTTAACCAAGTAAAAACCAATCATAATTAACCATATATATATATATATATATATATATATATATATATATATATAAAATTTACCGCTAAATGTTGTTTTATTGTATCCTTTATTGCAGGGGAAACTTTTTTCCAAGTCCGTTTATCAAAAGGGACCATCTGCCACATTATTTTTCCAACTTCTCGTGCAAACATGTCTTTCAGCTCTCCTACAGGATTATATGTCATATCACTGTCATAATCCATATAAATTGGTTTGCCCTTATTGTGTAAGAGCGCTCTTTCGAGCTTGATATTTTTGGCTTTGCCTCGGACTTTCCTACGTTGCTCAACTACAAATATAATTAAAAATTATTATAAACAATATTTAATTTATAATAATTGAATAAAATAGTAAATAAAAATTCAAAATAAGACTTACGGTCCTACTCATGATGACCAACACCTCTACCGCCTGGGAAATGTGGGTCCTCAGCTCCATCTCCTCCATGTCCACGACCCATAACAACAGCCATAGTGTACCAAAACAATAGCCATATCAACACCATTTCCTACAAAATTATATGATATATATTTATAATTTCTATTACAAATACACATTACCTAGTGTATTTGTTTTTTTTTTACAATCCACATTATTTAAAAAAATAGCATCCTACATTATTTGTTTGTTTTTTTTTTTTTCTTTCAATAATAGCATCCTAAAATAATAGTATCCTACTTTATTTGTTTTTTTATACAACACACATTGTTTTTTGTTACAAAAAATACATACAATCCATAGTACATACAAATTGCATACAAATTCAAATATACATACATAATGTCATGTTTTCATTTGTACAAATGCACATTAGACACACATATAATCCACATTACATACAAATACACATATATACTTAAAATAGCATTATCAATAATAACATCCTATTTTATTTGTTCTTTTTCCATTATAGCATTGCAATATACACATATTCATACATACAATACACATTATACGTAAATATACATACAAATACACATATACAAATACACATTTTATACATACATACAAATACACTTTTCATACATATATACAATCTACACTGCATACATAAAAACGCCAATTATATATTTCTTACAAATACACATTTTCTACATACATATAAATACACATATACACAAATATGGGTAATTTCACATAATAGGCACAAATACACAATTTTCAGTAAATAATATCGAAATTAAAGGAGAAAGGTACCTATGGTTGCCGAAAATCAACAATGGTGACCAGAAAATCAAGCTCCAATCGTCGGTGACATAGTCAAAAACACCAAAAACTGAAAAATATAATTTTCAAAAATTAATGTCGAATATAAACTGAAAATTGAATTTAAATGAGAAAGAAGTAGAGAAATGATGAAAGAGATGCTCACAATCACCGGTGAAGCTTTCAAAATGCCGATAGTAGCCGACCTATCGCCAGAATTAGGTGGCAAACACCGGTTGTGGTTGTTGGTTGGTGGTTGAAGGCGGAGGAAGGGAGAAGTGTATACTAAGGAACGATCGTTGGTTGAACCTCAAGAAAGAACATGCAAATCAGAAGGAACAAGCAGGAAGAAAAAAAGGGATACTGATGATGGGTCTTATTCCGTCGACCTTTAGCGGTGACGAAAGGTTTTTACCGGCGACAACTTGGTATTAGCGGCGACATCAAAGGAGGGGATTTATCCCGCTTCTTTTTTTCACGACCTTTAGTGGTGACAATTTTACCCATTAGCGGCGAGAAAATGTCATCGATATTGAAGTTGTGTGAGAAAAACGCCCGACCATTGGATTAGAACGTTGATCCAACGGTTGGGATTTAGCAGAAGGGGTAACCATAGATTCGGATCATAGAGTATTACCGGCGACACTATTAGTGGTGACACGGAGCTTCAGCGGAGACTCAAGTTTGAGTCCCTGCTAAAGCTCCATGTCGCCGCTAATAGTGTCGTCGGTAACGACTAGATTTGTTGTAGTGTATGACGTAACCATTCGTGTGGTTAGTCGATCCACTGGTCCCGATCTGTTGTGGCAAAACCAATGTCGATGATATTAGAGTGGGTACTATTTTTCGCCGCTAAAGCTCACGAAAAAAGACCAGGAATATTTCTCCACAAGTTGTCGCCGTAAAGGGTTAAACCTCCGATTTCATTCTCTTTTCTGATTAAACAAACACAAAAGATCTTCTTCATATGACGATGATGACATGCAACCCCAACAAACACTGCCGAAGCCTCTTACTTACTACAACATGTACAAACACCACATACTCTGATCCATTACTAAACAAACACCACCATTAGCTATTGATACTTACTTTATTGAGTGAAAACCACTACCACTCAAATGGGTTGCCTTGACGTGGGTTAGTGTTGCCGTTAACTCACTCTGAAAAGAAATATATGATGCTCCGGATTAACGAAATGGTTATTTAACTCTTAGTGAAAACATGTCACCATCTTCCTTGTAGTTATAGTTCATAAAGATGATGAAATATGAGATTAATCCCAACATAAAAGTCTATTTGAGGTTATGATTTACAATGTTGAAAAGATTTTTGTGTGTTTGAAGTTTGAAGGTTTCAAGTTGTTCAAAGATTGTATTTGATGATTGTACAGGTGTAGCTTAACTTAAGAGGGAATGTTGAAATATAAGCTAAAGGTTTAGAATACACACACACACACACAGATATATATATATATATATATATATATATATATATATATATATATATATATGTTTGGTAAGTTTTAGAAGTAGTTAGTTGATTAGTTAAATTGGTAGTTATTACTTGTTAGTTATAGTTTCCTATTTTAGGTTGTAATTACCAATATTAAAGGGGTTTGTTGGTTGTAATGAAAAGTGCAATAGTTATGAAGTGTTACACGAGTTCATGTGTGTGTATAAGTATGAACATGTGTGGCATCCTCAATTTCACGGTCAGAAAAGACCAATTTTGTTTATACTTTATAATAAAACCAGAGTAACTTTTTAAAGAAAGTGTTGCGAAATTTGTTCCAAAAAATATGATAAAGCTTTTATCAAAACATTTTCGAAGAATTGTATTTCATTATATTAAAACCTCGGGATCAATACAGATCAAAAGCATAAACTGAAACAATATAGACCTTACAACATTTATTTACATCTATTGGCATATAATTCATTATCCCTCATCAAATCGTTGCAACTATGCTCTTGTGCCACTACCTGTTGTGACAACCTGATACTTTCTTAGTCAACACAAGTCAAATCTGCTAAATAAAATTTCGAATTTTATTCATGTCGTTAAATTCATAACAGTTATAAAATAAATTAAAATATATAAATGATGTTTATATATGTTACACCCCGCGTAACATGCTGAACGCGCAGCGTAGTCCGAGGCTACTGACCCTATAAATAGGTTGCGAATTCTCTCGGATTTTCACACCTTTCTCACTTCTCTCTCTAAATACTTTCTCTCTCCAACCCATTCCAACTCCCCTAAACCCTAAGGAACCCCTAGCACCCGAAGGAAGCCCCGAGGCTCCCGGAGTCCCGAGAAAAAGGGTTTTTCGGTTTAGAAACGCTGCTCCAAGCGAAGTCCGGTTTTCTATAAAACCCGCTGTAAGTGAGCTATGTCTACGCTATTTTTAATATAGCTTCTAATTAATTATAGTAACATTATTAGGAACTTATAATAAATACTTGGGCTATTTTATGGGTCATATAAGTATTGTTTAACGCTTATATAATAGTAATGATAGCTAGACTATTAATTCGTCTCGGTGAATGATAGACTAAACCCTAGTGGTAATGATACTAGGTTTTGACGAAGGAAATTGTTTCAAGAGTAACGAAGTGCTGACTAAGTTCGGAATCCCCACCTTGACATGTGAGTGCATAGTTACTTTCATCTTACACATAGATATGAAGTATTTAATATAAACTACGTGCTATGTGTGCATATTGTCTGAATACTTGCTGTATATGCTAATGAAAGATTTTAATATATGTTTTAAATGATTTAAACTGTATATATATTTTATATCTACAAAAATGTTGGGGTAAAACATGGGTAGATGTAAAAGACGATGTATGATAAAATGATAAAAGGCCTCGATGTTGTTGTTGTTGTTGATTCTGTCATCTAGCGGGGTATGAATGACGACCACAGACTCTTCTAGACAATCCAGTGGAACGCTAACAGGCTCGTAACCTGTAGGTGTTTATGAACGATGTGTTCACCGGTGTACTCCATCCCCCACATGGTTGCCTTAATGACATTTATTGCTGAGGAATCCCCTTAGCATTAGTGTCCATCCCGATGTTGATCCTTAGTCTAGGTCCCTAATGATAGGTGTTTTAGGGACGTAATGTGAGGATAACGGGAACGAGTAATCGGGTTATTGTTGGTTGATGAAATTAATAAACTTATTTATTGTGGGTTGAAAACCCTATGTGCTCACCAGGCTCCCAAGTCTGACCCACTTAGTTTCATGTATTACAGGTAGTGGCACTCGAGCATAGATGTGATATTTTGGATGAGGGATTATGTATATAAGCCTGTAGATATGAAATAATATAGTAAAGCTTATATTGTACTGTTTATGTTTTTGATCTGTATCGAACATGACATCCCGAGTCTTTTTAATGAAATACATTTCTACGGAAATGCTTTGATAAATCTTTATCATATTATATTTTGGGAACAAATTTCACAACACTTTTATGAAAAATATTACTCTGATTTTCAAACAAGCATAAACAAAATCGGTCTTTTCTGGCCGTGAAAATGAGGATGTCACACAGGTCACTAAGCATATCACCATCCTAACTACCATGATGTAAATCGATAAGCATATCATGCAATAAAGTTTAATGGATGACATAAATGGTCCTTATCCAAAATTCGTTCAAATTACCAGCTCCATCAAACGGACATTCATCATAAGGGCCATTGGTGCTCTTAGTTTTGTTGAAAAGCACCATTCATGCAAAAAAAAGTTTCATAAAAACTGTTTTGAAGATGACTTTAAAACCATAAGGGCCATTTGTGAAATTTTGTATAATAGTAATGTTAGTATTGTATACCACTAACTAACTAGACTTCAATCCAAAATATCCGTATTGAGGTCACTCTTACCCTAGCTTCAAATTGAGGCCCAAAGAAAAAGACAAAACTTCCAAGCCACAAATCCAACTAAAGTGCTAGAATCTCTCGCCAAGCCACAAACACATAATTGTTGCAAGAGCACATGCAATCAACATATGATCTTGTTTCACTCATCTCCTAAAAGAACTTGATTAAAGAAATATGTGAAAAGCACATGATGCGACAACTTTTTCAGGCCAAAAGACAAATCTTGTTTTGTATATCAACACTATAAATATCACCCTCAAGAAAGGTCTCTGTAAACAATACTACACTCATTGTTTTTCCTTAATTGATCCAAACACATATCTAACTTAAGTGTAGAGCGTAATTCAATGCTCATCCCATATTATTGTTGACCACAATATTCTTTTACCTTAGTGTTCCTTTTGTGATCACAATCAATGTAATTCCCACCTAATCAATCGAGACATGCACCTTTAGCTACCCTTAGTCTCACATTCTTTAACCACTTCCAGACTTGTTGCATGACTATCAATCAATCGAGACATGCACCTTTAGCTATTGTTAGTCTCACAGACTTTAACCACTTTCGAACTTGTTGCATCGATAATAATGATAATGATGAACATTCTATCAAAATGATGATGAAGAAGAACATTCTATCCAATCAAAATGTGATAGTACTGTGGTTTTTACCATATAAAAACATAAAGGGATAATTTGATTAATTGAACTTGAAAATGCTAGTCAATAAGTATTTTTACATAAATATTCAAAAATAAACATTTTAAAATTTTAATTACATTATTGTCCTTGGGACAAATAGCTGGCATACGCCTGTGGTCAACTAATCAACTTCAACTTACGGTACCTGTTAAGTGTCAAACGACAGCGTTACCTCATTCCATTACATCTGAAAACGCCAAAACACCCCCTCGGAAAATAAGGAACAAAGAAAAAACGATACACCATCACTCGATCTTCTGTTCTTTCTTAAGTCCGATTTGGATCTGTGATTCACTTAATAATACTTTAAATCCTCGAATTTCGTAATTTTGAATCATAAGGAGTTCTTCATCGATCAATTTTGTTCCGTGATTACTTATAATTTATGAATGAGATGTTCCGATTCGAGCAAGAAAAGATCAGAAAACGGCTTTGATTATTGTTTTATTTTCCTGAATTGAATAGAGGATTTTGAATCATTGTTGTTTGTAACAACGTCTGCTATGGCCGACGGTTTATCCGCCATTCCGGCGGCTGTTCTCCGAAACCTGTCAGATAAGTTATACGAGAAGCGGAAAAATGGTGCACTTGAGGTTAGGGTTTTGTTAATTGTGTCCGTTGTGAATTTATTGTTTTTGACCTTTTCTGATCGTGTGATGGTTTTACTGTTATTGTCAGCTTGAAGGAATTGTAAAGCAATTGACAGTTGCTGGAGATCATGATAGAATTAATGCTCTGATTAATCTGTTGACTCATGAGTTCACTTTCTCAAACCAAACAAGTCATCGGAAGGTATACCGGAGATACATTACTCGATTTTAATTTGCATTTCTAATAATTTGATGTTTATTTTCAGGGAGGATTGATTGGACTGGCTGCAATTACTGTTGGGCTGAGTGCCGAAGCAGCTCAACATCTTGAGGTTTGTATTTTTCTTATTGTTTTTATCGTTTTACTGGAAAATGCTGATGAATGAAGATTTTCTCTTGCCTCTTCTTCCATTACAATCCACCTGCTAGCAAATTGTACCACCGGTAATAAACTCTTTCTCAGATCAAGACAGCAGAGTTCGTTATTATGCGTGTGAAGCTTTATACAACATCGCAAAGGTGAGAATTAGTTCTGAGTTCATCAGATGGTGTATAAACTGTGAACAATACATTTAGGGCTTACTTTATACCTTTTGCAGGTTGTGAGAGGAGACTTCATTGTGTTCTTCAATAAGATATTTGATGCTTTATGCAAGCTTTCAGCAGACTCAGATCCCAATGTACAAAGTGCAGCTCATCTGTTAGATAGACTCGTTAAGGTAAGTAAATGACTCATCTTCTGTTTGTTATATTTGTTCTAATGCTGAATCACAGTTGCTTTTATTGTTGAAAACAGGACATTGTGACAGAGTCTGACCAATTCAGGTGATCTATCATCTTCTGTTATTTGTATAAATTTGATAGGTTTACTACTGTAAAATGTATTTCACTTGGGATCCTGATCAATCTTTATCTTTTTTCAGCATTGAAGAATTTATACCTTTGTTGAGAGAGCGTATGAATGTGTTGAATCCTTATGTTCGCCAATTTTTGGTTGGATGGATCACTGTGTTGGACAGTGTTCCAGACATAGACATGCTCGGTTTTCTTCCTGATTTTCTTGATGGTAAATGATCTCACTTCACAGTTAAAGGGTATTCCCGTCAATTTGCATGTGTTTTTATCACACAACTTTGTTGGATTCATCTGACATGTCACATGTGGAGATCTCAGGTTTATTTAATATGTTAAGTGATTCCAGCCATGAAATCCGTCAGCAAGCTGACTCAGCACTTTCAGAGTTTCTTCAGGAGATCAAGAACTCCCCGGTAAGACTCTGTAGCTAATGAACATGGTAATGGAATCAGTCATTACATTACATTCCATGATCATGTTTAGTTGACATGTAATGAATTTTCGTATTGTATGTAAAATACAACATATAGTTTTGACTTTTGACTCTACTCTTTATGTTATATAATTATAATTAATGAACTTTTATTTACAAATTAAAAGTACACATAATGAAACCTTTTTAAAACCCAAATAAGATTACACTAAAAACTATATAAATTTGTAATTCGATTAAACCTCATATTTTTTAGTAGCAAATTTTATCATTTATTTGTAACTTTCTGACTCTAGGAGTGCTACTGATGAAGTCTGTAGATTATGGTCGCATGGCAGAAATACTTGTACAAAGAGCATCTTCCCCTGATGAATTCACCCGTTGGACTGCAATCACATGGGTAAGTCTTTTTTTCCTTTTTTTTTTTTAAAATTTAGTTGCACATTGTAATGAGATTTTTTGAGAAATCCTGAAACTTTTTATTAAATTTATGCAGATAAACGAGTTTGTAAAACTTGGGGGTGATCAATTGGTTCCTTATTATGCTGATATATTAGGAGCTATCTTGCCTTGCATGGCTGATAAAGAAGAAAGAATACGTGTTGTAAGTTTGTGTATTCTGATGGAATTGGAATTCGGGATTCCATTCCATTGTGTGTTTATCTGACTTGTGAAAATTGTGTTTGTTGAGTATCAGGTAGCCCGTGAAACAAATGAAGAGCTCCTTGCAATCAAAGCCCATCCTTCTGAAGGATTTGATGTTGGAGCAATTCTCTCCATTGTAAAAAGGTCCAATCTCACCCTTTTTTTTATTACTATAAAATATAAACCGAGTATTGTTTCTTCAACTCCTTTTCTCTTTATTAACAAATATATCTTTACTTTTATTTTCTCAATTTTCAGGCAGTTGTCGAGTGAATACGAAGCCACTCGGATTGAATCATTGCACTGGATTTCAACCCTTTTAAATAGACACCGAACAGAGGTACACAAACCATTTTCAAATATATATATATATATATATATATATATATATATATATATATATATTTAAATTCTTTCCAATAAGAAAGAAAATTAATTACTTAATTTATATGTGTAATTCAGGTCCTGTCTTTTTTGAATGATATTTTTGATACACTTCTTAAAGCACTATCTGATCCCTCTGATCAGGTAATCTTTTCTTTTCTTCTTCATTAAATATATATATATATATATATATATATATATATATATATATATATATATATATATATATATATATATATTTTAATCATGTATCAGTTTTAAAAAAATATATATTTCACAGGTAGTGCTGTTGGTGCTCGAGGTGCATGCATGCATTGCAAAAGACCAATATAACTTTCGTCACCTTGTTGTCTTTTTAGTTCAAAACTTCCGAAAAAATGCCCTACTCCTCGAAAAGTAAGCTTCATTTTTTTCCTTTAAAAAAAAAATAAAAAAGTTGTCTAATTAGTAATCACATGATATTTTTATTATTATATTATAATAGGCGTGGTGCTTTGATAATCCGCCGGCTTTGTGTGCTTCTAGAAGCTGAAAGAGTTTACAGGGAACTTTCTGCAATTCTTGAAGGGGAATCAGACCTGAATTTTGCCTCTACTATGGTTCAGGTTCTTATTTATGATTTTATTCAAATTTTGAAAAGTTAAACTTAGTTTTCAAATTTATAAAAGTTTATTTAAATTCTGTTTTCAGGCTTTGAATTTGATTTTGCTCACATCTTCCGAGCTATCTGACTTAAGAAATCTTTTAAAGCAATCGCTGGTTAATGCTGCTGGAAAAGACTTCTTTTTATCACTATACGCCTCATGGACCCATTCATCCATGGCCATAATAAGTCTATGCTTATTAGCACAGGTAAGCACATAAATAAATTAAAATAAATAAAAAATAAAAATAAAGAGAGAGAACTTAAATCTCTAATTTTTGTTTTGTGATATAGGCTTACCAGCATGCAAGCTGTGTGATTCAGTCTCTAACAGAGGAGGATATAAATGTCAGATTTTTAGTTCAGCTTGACAAACTGATAAACCTATTGGAGACTCCTATTTTTGCTTATCTTAGGCTGCAGGTGCGTTGACTTTTTGCTTTATGGTCAACTTCTTAATAATTTCAAAAATAAGTTTGCTATTTTTTCTTTTCTTGCTTTGCAGCTTCTTGAACCTGGAAAATATGTATGGTTGTTAAAAGCGTTAAATGGTCTTCTTATGCTACTTCCACAACAAAGTGCAGCTTTTAAGATCTTAAACACTCGTTTAAAAACAGTCCCTTCCATACACTTTTCTGAAGATGGTAACATGAATGATGATTCCATTTCCATTTCCATTTCCCCCAATGGAATTAACTTTGCATCTTGGCTTCAACGATTCCAACGATTGCAGCAACAGCATCGTCTGCATTGTAAATCACTCAATACCTCCACGTCATCAAAGGTAGGTGGTGTCTGCCGGATCATCATGTAACATATAATTAAAAAAACAAACTTGATTTTGGAAAGTCTTTGCAGGTGAAGGAGGTTAAAAAAGCAGAAGAATTTAGAGGACCACCTGTCCCAGAGTTGACCAGACCTCCTTCAAGATTATCGCGTAAAGCTCCTGGACAGTTACAACTTTAAACCTGTGTTTTTTTGTTACATGAGGAGGAGGGCATTTATGTCTTTTGCTCAGGTCCTGTATGCATGCCAAAATACAGTACAACATGATCCAGACTCGTTGAACAGAATCCGGTACGAATTGTAGATTGTATATCTTAGTATTTTTTTTTCTTAACTTTCATTGAACCAATAAGGTGTCTATTTTCTTTTCTGTTTTATTGTTTTTTGTTTTTCCTCGGATTTTTTTTTCTGGATTGTTGTTCTTGTGGTTCTGTTGTTTTTGTCACGGGACCAGAGGTTAGATGTTCTAAGTTAGAACGTGCAGGTCCTTTTCGTTGATATTTTTATAATAAGAAAATCTTAAGGCGTTCATTTAATTCATTTTAGAGTAAATTACATTTTCGGTCCCTTTGGTTTCTCATTCTATACAGTTTTGATCCAAACTTCATTTTTGTTGTACATTTGTCCCATATAGTTTCATATTGCTGCGGTTTTGGTCTGTAACCTATGAAAAATGACTATTTCATCGTAGCTGATATCTTTTTCCCTCCTTTGTCATTTGTTTATGATTTATATTATTATTATTACTATTATATTAGTGGGCAACGCGTATTCTTTTTTCTAGAACCTTATAACTCTCTTAAAACACACGCTTTCTCTCTGAAACTCATGAATCTTACCACTCTATGTTACACAAGTGATAGAAGTCAATAAAAAATCAAATGAGAGTTGATCGTCATTGACCAAATCCGTAATAAAAAAATAAAAAAAAAATAATAAAAAAAAAAAACACCACCACATGGACAAATTTGCAACAAGAATAAAAAAACAAAAAGGTATAACACGGAGACCAAACTTGTAATTTACTAAGCATTTTATGATCCCGGTTTCTATTAGACAACATTAACCCTTAAAACGGTGGGTCTGAAAGAGTAAAACAGTGATTTAAACGATGGCCAAGTTCCTATACAGCCATATTATGTACATACCATACTCTAATCTTAGTAAAACTCGTAGCATAAAGAAATAGAAACACCGGTATGTTTCTTCTCTTTTTCAAGGCTCAGTGGCAACCTCATCTTTCACAGAGCATAAATCTTCTCATGATCCGATTCATCATCCGAAATATTCGCGGAATACACACTCCACGAAAACGACTTACTCCCACTCGCCCTCCTAATCCTCCTCTGAGAATCATTCCCAAAAAACCCAAAATGTTGCCTAAAAACAAAATAACACAAACTAATAAGCGTCCCAACAAGAATCGGAACACCAACAACCGTAATCGTAATCGCCATCCACGCGCTCCTTTTCCCAACCACCACAAATGCAATTGAACAAAACGCCCCACACGTACTAATCCCCGCGGCCCACATCAACTTATTCACAACCGAAACTATCTGTCTCTGGGCCCGCGTATCCCACGCCACCAACGTTATCTGAACCACCACAACCGCCAACGATATAAACAAAGAAGTCGCATTAAACAAACAAAACGCACGAAAAGCAGTTGTGTGCGCGATATGCGCTTCCCCCGGTTCCCCCCCTTTCTCATCCATCTTCCAATACTGTCCCGGTAAACTAAAAATTGCTAAGAAAGCAATTGATGCAAAGAGAACCGCGACAACCGTTAACGAATTAATCGTGTTTTGAACTGCTTCGCGGTGGATTTTCTTCAACTCTTTAGCGATACCGGATACACGCCTTTGTGTTTGTTCGTTTTGTAAGAGCTGGGAATGGACCTCATGTTTGATGTCGCTTACTGTTCGTTTGAGTTCCATTGCTTCGTCGATCCGGCCTACGTGTCGCGCGTGTTTCGCTCCTGCTTCGCTTAATGCTTCCATGATTTCTAACTTTGGAAGCCCGTAGTTTAGTTTATCCGCTATATCCATCGCGGTTTCTCGTTGATTGTTGATCACGTTCACACTGATTGTTGTGAAGCTCAGCAGTAAGCTCACGATCTACACAATTTAACTCAACAACTTTACAAGGCAACTACAAAAATTCAAACCAAACCAGAAAATAAAAAGAAAGAAAAAAAGAAAAGAAAAGAAGGAAGATTACCTGAGATCGGCATTTCCTAGTGGCTATATGGATGGCGGTGTTACCCATCTTGTCACGTTCGTTGAGAATCGAGTGATCAGCGAGGAGTAGATCTTCAACCACGGTGGTGTCCTGGCCTTTGACTGCCATGTGAAGTGCGGTTTGACCTTTTTTGTCTTTGATCGAAACGATATTACGATCTCTTTCGATTAATGTTTTTACCATGTTTGTTTTGCCATATCGAGCTACTGTGTGTAATGCGGTTTTTCCGTTTTTCCGAACTATTCTGATGCAGGTGGCGTCGGCATCTAACATGGCGTTCACGACGTCGAGATGGTCATTCACGGCGGCGGAATACAGAGGGCTTGTGTTTCTTGTATCGCATACTTTACAGAGCTCCGGCCACAACCGCAGAAGTTCGTTCACGATTCCTGGAGTTAATTAAAGTTTAGTATGAATTAGGTTTCACAAAATCACAAATCCAAACAGTTTGCGTAATCGATAAGGAAAGAAATTGATTGAATGGAATTGATAAGATAAGATCTTGGAGCTGAAAATTGAAATACCTAAATGGCCTAGTTTGGCTGCGATGTGAAACGCGTTGAAATCTGATTTAGACCTAATCTTCACTGTTTCAAGATCACAGAACTTGAGTAAGTAATTAAACACTTCCGGGAAGTTGTTCTCGGCGGCGATGTACAGCGCCGTCTCGCCGGCGTCATTCTGCATCGCCATTAGAGTAGAAGCGGAAGCTGAGTCGGAATCGTCATCGCTTACGATCAGTTTCAGTGATTCAAGGTCGCCTGATCGGACTGATGAGAAGAACGATTGATGCGAGATGAATCGCAGTGATTTGGATGATGATGATTCCATAATCATCTATGGATGATCGAAAAAAAAACTATCAAATTTTCTCTAGTTTCTCTCTTGCTCTTATCTGCTTGCTTAACTAACAAATCAATGGTGAGAAGAACTGAGAATCTTTCTTTCTTTTTTTTCCACTCAATAATTGCATGTGGGGTTCCATTTGTGGCTTAAAATATTCAATCCAGCCATCATGATTTTGTTATTTTGTGCTGTAAAAATCCATCAACAGTGGGGTCGAAAACGATTGGGACTTCTTTACTGTGTGTGTTTTTGTAGTTTCAGTTCTAGAACCCCCGGCGGTAAGTTGACGCCGGCGTTGACTTTAGAAAATTACAAGTTAAGTCCTTTGTAAATTGGAAACGTTTCCTTTCACACCCCGTTACTTTTTATGTATTCAATTTGGTTGTGTTTCTTCAATGATCCTTTTAGGGTATGCCAAACTCGAAAAATAATCAAATTTTGGAAAGCTCATATTTAGTATCTAACACGATAAAATATGATTTTTAGGAAAATATATGTAACAAGATGCTCGTTACATTAGCTACACGTTTTTGTTAAATTTACATTAGCTACACGTGTTTTTATTTATTTAACGTATTTAATGATTAAACATTTGATGTGGATAGGTATGTCATTATTATTTTTATTTATTTTGGATAGAATAACTTAGTTGAATAATAAAACGGCTTAATGTTAAAGCATTATGTATACTCTTATTTTAGTTTTGAAACTTGAAGATACTCTATCGTTTATTTTCATTAAGATAGTCTATTTAGTTCATAAAATGGTTAATGATGTAGGAGGGTAATAAGGTTTTTTATTTGTCCATATTAGATCCCTAATGTATTTTTTGTATGTATCACACCAATAAGGTTGGTATAACCATTTACAAATAGTCTCTTTTACTGGTTTCTTCATGTTTAGCATAGTTGGCGTCTTACGTGTCCAATGGCATGTCTATATGTTAGGGTGCAAAGTCATGCTTGGATGTAATGTTTTAGGCTTTTCTTTTTGTATGTGTAAATGGGTTGAGTTTTTCCTATAAATAGGAAGTGAGTGACTCCCATTGTGTAAGGAATCATTTGGAGTGTTAGACTAGAGAGAGAATTTGTATACAAAACCCATTTGTATAATCTTTTTATATCTAATAAGAGCTTACACAGATTTATTTACTCCTTGTGTTCTTGAATTTGTATGATGAATTACTAGATCTTTCTAATTCCGCACATGCCATCATAATCAACACCACTTCAATTGGTATCAAAGCGGGTGTTCTTGAATCTCATCAATAATTGATCCTTGATGGCTATTTTGATTTGGTGATTCTTTTTGTTCATTAATCTTCGTGTTTAGAGAGTGTTTTTGTATTCTAGAAGTCGAATTTTTCTTTGATTTGATCCATAATTCGACTTTCTCTCTCTAGAATACTTGTTTGTATCACTTTATCTCTCTAGAAAACCCATTCATAATCACTTTCTCTCTCTAGAAAATTTCAAGTTCTTGTAATCATGGAGAAATGGATGATACGTATGAATGATTTTCAAAGTGAATGCTCATTTGATTATCTTCTTTATAGCTTAACTGTTGGATTGATAAGTGAATATGATATTGTTGTAAATGGAGAAAAGAATGAAGTTGGAGAATTAATTAGTTGTCCAATTTTTCGAACCAAACATTTGTTTAATCGTTTGATTACAACATATCAAAAGAGACGAAGAAATAGAAGAGATGGAGAAGTCATAAAAGGAATTTCTCGTGCCGAATGCAAATATGGAAGCAATAAACTTGAATATTATGCAGATTGTCGTGAAGCTCGGGATGGTGTTCTTGATGATGATGATGTTCAAGAAAAAGGAGTTCAATGTGATGTTCTTGATGTTCAAGAAAAAAGAGTTCAAGTTGATTCTCAAGATGAAAAAGTTTTTTGCTCAATTGGAGTTCAAACTGATGATATTTTGTGTTCTTGTGATTCGTTTGAAGGAATGATTCCTTATCGGAAGCCGGTGGTTCAAGAAATTCACAAATATCAAACTCCAAAAGATTTTATTCAAACTCAAAATGTTCATGTTGTTGAAAGTGGGTTTGTTCATGAATTCAAGTCTTCAAGATGCAAAAAGATGAGAAAGAAAAAGAAGAAGAAGATGAATCGGAAAAACAAGCGGGTTTACTCACAAAAATCGTCATATGTTGTGAAGCCAAAATCCGTGAAGCAAATTTGGGTTCCAAAGCAACAATCTCCAAGTGTTGAATTGAATTTGAAGTCAAAACCCAAATGTGTTGGTGGTTCTTTTGAAGATGTTCTTGGTTTGATGAAGAACACGAAGAACGAGTTGTACATCTCGCATGGTGGGTGGTACAATGTTCGATTTGGAGATTTTCTCATTCCAACAAAAGAACCAAGATCTTCCAAATTTGATTCGTTTGTCGAAAACGGAACTCGATTCGTCAAAAAGGTATCTCAAATTCTCAAATGGATTCCAAAACGTCCATGATTTCAATTCGTGCTTTGCATTTTTCATTTTTGATCGATTTGTTTCGTTGGATCTAATCTGTTTCAACCTCATTGATGATCCAATAATTTTTTTTGTGTTGATCAAAGCCCAATCCAATTCCAAATCCATATGTTTGATGTGATTCAAAAAAAAATTTAATACTTTTGTTTGAAGCCCAATCAATTAATCTACTTACTATTCATGACCTCGATTTGAGCCCAATATTTGAGATATTACTGTTCATGATCGTGAGACCAAATTCGTTTACAGCGTATGATCTATTAAACTCGTTCCTGATATAGTCACTCGCTTCAAATGGTTGTACGATTGATGTTCTTGAATCGACTTTT